CCGTCGATAAAACTCGCAGCTGAAAAACATTGTTTATACCGTTGTACACGTCTTTAATGAGCCAATTAGACAGACTAATGAACTTGGGGTCGTAAAAGACACCCATCGTCTGGAGTGTCTGATTTGCCTGGTTAATGACTTCCAAGACCAATGGCCGCGCCGAATGCCACGCAACTAGTTTCTCGCGCATTATCTGATCACATCTCAATTGTTCGGCTTTCTCGTCTTTAATACGCTCTTTTCGACGGATTGCCTCTTTTGACTTCTCCTCCAACGCACGCTCAGCAAATTTTTCATCACTTATTGCAGTGTTCAGTATGGTGTGTTCACAATGCAGCATCTTCATTTCTCGCTCTTCCTTCACTTCCTGCAACGCCTGCGCGAGGGTTTTGTTCACCAACACATTCAACAGCGGCTTCACCTCACTATCATATTCAAACAACCTATCAGACTCTTCAATCTGTAAAATACATAACAAGCACAAGATAAAAAAACACAATTAACGCGTCAATGTAAATTGCACAATAAAAACCTGCCTGTGTGGAAATTTCAATACCTGTCCTTCGTAGGATAAAATTGTCGCTTGTTGTGGGCGCTGTACGAGGTAGAAAGGCGTCTGTTTGGCTAAACGAGTCATACTCTAATGTTGATGCCGGCTCTTCGATCAAATGTGCGTCGAGCGAGATCGAAGTGACTTCCACAAAATTGACCTTAATAATCCATAATGAAAATGCAAAAATTCACTTACATGCTTTCGACGACCCCATTCGCGTCTCCAAATTCACGGGATGCGCATAATTATTGCTTCTTTTTTTTATGAATGCGCTTTTTCTCTTTTTCATTGTCTCCCGCTTCGTTTCAAATTTCGACGCAGTAATCTAAGTAATAAATTCCATCATTTTAAAGCAATTAAATAGACGATGTTGCAGCACCGACCGAGGCAAACATGCTGCCGCGTAGTATTCTTGGGTCATGCATAATATTGACTGGAGCGATCTTATTACTGTCATTTTGAGCTTTATTGCGCTTCGTCTGCACGGGCCGAGGTTTGGTCGCATGCGAGTACAAGAGTTCTTGCTCCATTTCTGGCTAGAAATGAAAACATTTGGCAGTCAAACGTCGTTCAAGACAGACTGTACCGTGATTGCCTATAAAGTACGATTACTAGACCAGAAAAAACCGACTTGCTTGATGTAGTATGGCATTTCTTAACCCGACGACACAATGTCTATCTATTACTGTGTCGTGGCCAATAGCCACTGCCCACTTGTCGAGCACAGCAACGGCGGCGACAAACGCATGAACGAATTCGCCCAAAAGTTACTGAAGAAAATCAATTTAACAGATGACGCGGTCGAGGCGATGGAATTCGATGGCAAGACGTACAGCTACCGTGTGGACAATGAAGTGGCTTATGTTTGCGTCACCAATGCGGCATTTGGCAAGAGGTACAGCTTCTATCTGATGTAAAAAGTGGAGTATTGAACTAATACGATCGATGTGGCAGCTCAGCAGCGCTATTTCTAAAGCACATTAATCAGCTCTTTGACAACCAATTTGGCATAAGAGGCAAGGCTACAAAATTAAAGCTGGACATGAATCGAGACTTTGCCCCAACTTTAAAGAATCAAATGGTAGATTTATGCTTGGTGCATGGAAAACGTCATTTGGATTCTGACTAGCTATTCGATAGGAAATGTTTTCATCGGACAAAGGAGTCGAGAAGCTGCAAGCGCTAAGAAAAGATCTGGACAATGTTACTAACAATATGCAAAACAACATCAGTACGTTGTTAACTCATTGGTCATGAATACTGGGCTAAAACTTTGCTGACTTTTGCGATGCTGAATAGACAAAGTGCTGGAACGTGGCGATAAAATTGAACTTCTTGTGGACAAGACGGACCAACTCAAGTGCGGATAGAAGTACCTTAATAAATCTCTAACTCTATAAGGTCTGACTTTTGCTTTTGATGTCTCGCGTAGCTCTCAGTCTGCGGCGTTTGCTAAGTCTAGTAAAAATCTTCGCCGTCACTTATGGTGGGAAAATCTTAAGATGAATGTTGCGATTGGAGCAATAATTGCGGTACGTTTGCTGCCCTTAAAATGTTTTGTCGTTACTTTGCTCATTCTTCTAATCTTTGTCGTCCTTTGTCTCAGCTATTCCTCATACTTATAGTTTTGTATATCAGAGCCAAATTCTTTGGAAGCAGCAACAAAGAGATAGATAGGAATTAACGAGTGTGACTGAGCCACATATACTTAATGCTTCTTTCGTTTATTTCGTGACGTCGGATATGGCATTGAAGCTCGCTCGAGTTTTCGAGCGTATATAGTCGCTACGACAAGAACAGCACTACATCCAAAGTAGAGTTGACTGCTTGCAAAGTAGCTTGAGCCGCCAATCCCTAGAAGCACTAACAAATTCGTTGGAACTCGAAATAGTGAAAGCATAGTGCTTAACTTTGTGATTGAGAAATATTTGCCGCGCAGGGTTGCGCAACATGGTGATTGCAGTCCAACGCAAATCTTTGCAAACAACATTGTGAGCATACTAGAAACGACCAGCGTGGAAGATTGCAGTTGTTGCACTCACCTCAAAGACCAGAAATCCACCTAAAATCCATCGATAATCGTTTGAAACCTGCTAGCACAAGAGCAGCGATACTCATTAGCTACCTCCAGATAAAAAATAGAATCTATTTCTGTGAGTCGCACTGTTGGTATAAGTAGCGCAACAACAGATGCAGCAGTAGTTGCTAGCAACAACATCTCTTCACGGATGCCAAAATTGCTAATCACAGAGAAAAGCTTGCCACCGATTGCGATGCACAACATAAAACACGAAAAAACTAGCCCACCTGGCATATCTCCATTTGGCACGACTGCCTGTAGGGAGGGAAACCACAAAAACACTTAAATATCATATAAAAATTAGCTCACAAACGTTAACCATAGAACAAATTCAAATTGTACCAAAGACGTACACCGCTCCCTCAAAAAGTGAATAGCATATACCTAAAGCGTACGAATTGTTTGTCAAGACAATTTCATCTCGGCTGAATTTATCCTCAGTCACGCAGGCATTCTTCTGTTTATATTCGACCATCGCTCCATAATTTTCAGGCCAAGAGACTATAATTAATGCAGCAATGGCAGTCACAATAACTGCCGCTCGGAATGGACCAATACTTCCGGAAATATCAGCGGCTAGCTGAGCGGCAAACCCAGCAAGCACTGCTACAATTCCATTAATTTCGGACCCAAGTGCAAACGTTTCTCCCATCAAACATTCTGCAAAACCTGAAAAATTGATATTGTTAGCCTAAAACTCCAAAGGAAGCAAGCACATTGATAGAAACCACCTCGTCTTCGATGCTCAAAAACCATCCAGCTTTCAAACGATGAGAAAAGAAGTGATGTCGAAATTCCACCGAGGACTCTTCCAACCATGAGCACAGCCATAATTGGTACTTCTTCGGATAAATTAATAATGATCTACTCCGATCAACCATCAGATCTCCATTTTGTCTCTGTGCCATGATACTTACCTCTAATATACAATACATGAAGCATGCGTTCCGCCGTCCGTATTTATCGACCAATATTCCAACAAATTTACCGAAAAGCAAGGATGACACAAATCCTGTCAGAAATAGCGTGCTGACATTCATATTGTAGCTCTGTTCAGTAGAGACGAAAGTAACGTTTACGCTGAAGCACCATTTTGTAAATCGTGCTGCTACCCACCTGATACAAGCTGTACATGTGCGTACCCTGCAGCCAATCAGCAAACATGACTAGCCCGTAAACAACCAGATACTGCTTTTGAAACTTGGCAAAAGATTTGTCTTTTGTAACATTGCCAAGCGCATGCCTAGGCCTTCGCAGCATATACATTTCAAAACTGTGCAAGAGCAAAAGACAGCTCAGTAGACCCAAACAGCAAACAGACGCCCACTGAGGCCACTGGAAAAAGCCGGCTGTGGACATATCGAATATATGACACACTTAAGATGTTAGATGCACTAATTTTTGAAGAAACCCGAACCAACTCCATACTTTTTACAATATTTTCCATGAAATTACCACATCGGTCAAACCTAATTTATCATTTTAAAATACATATTTTGAAAGTGCACTAGAAAGTTAAAAGAAAATTGAACCGAGCGCTTCTTAGCTTGCAAAACTCGTTGCTACCATTAAATTTGTTATTCAATATCATGTCGTCTACTCTTCTGTCGCTCATCTGTTGACTTACCGACCTGCCTGGTATACCATTGCTTTTTGAGAAGACCCTCTTCAATGCTCGCATTCGACTGGTTTGATCCCAAAATTGTCCCGGAGATTTTGAATCAAACGGTGAAAGCAAGGTTGGTCATCATGTCCTGACAAATTTATGTAGGTACATTCGATTGCGGTAACACAACTTGACTTTTATCGATCTTCTCACGCCCAAACGGCGAGCAGATGTCGATATGCTTGGTGCGCTTGTGAAATTCAGGGAAAATTTAGCTAGCGCGTCAGAGCCTTGATCGTCTTAAATTTTTTTGCAGGATCTTACCGTTTCATTTGCGCAAAAATGCCTGGAGCCAATTGCGCCCGCTAACATAATGCACCTCACCTACTTCGATTACGGTACCACCGCGCGCTGCTTCTGTTTTTCTCAGCTGATATATTTGCCGTTCATCATGACTTCGTAGCCACTTCTACTGCGTCAAGTTTCGATGGCTCCACCTTAATTCGCATCTAAGCAGCATCGATGCCTATCTTTACTGGCTTGGAATTTGAAGCTGCGCGTCTTTGTGAAACAGTGGAGCATGTATTGAGTATTTGCCAGTGTGTGACACATTTCTAAGAGCTGGCCAAGACCTCCATTACACCAGGTCCGGTCGGTACTCAACCATGAAGTATGCCAAGCAGCCGAATGCGTTGTTAACGGCACGTTCGATATAGTTGTATGTCATCGCACATGGCTTTGGGCAGCTATATTCTCAAGCCTTGAGGTGTCTTGAGAGGTACTTTTCCATACCAAAGATTTTTTGCAAATTATTTTGGTACAACAACACGGTCCCGGCGAACACATCATGTTCAATTCTCATGCCAAGTAAGTACCTGAGGTGTCATAAGTCAGTCAGGCCCGATCAATCATTGAGTGCATGTTTCTTTGATTCGAGCAACGCGTCATGATACTCGCAAAGAACAAATCATCCGCAGAGAGAGTCGAGAAGACAATAATTCTACACGTCTCGCCAATCGTAGATGCAGTAATTGGGTTCGCTCATCGTGAAGCCTCGCGTCTTTTGAAATTGCTGATGGTCTGATTCACATTCAAAGTGATTACTTAAGACCGTGGAGCAAGCGGTCGAAAGGGCAAGCGTGGACTGGGTTCTCTTCATCAATGTATCTAAGTGGTTGCATAATTTGAGTCCTTGTCGGGCTGCTGATTTCGGAAAGCTGTCTTTACGTGAATCTGGTACACTGACAATGTGAACTTCACCGTCAGATTGTATAGAATTCTGATTGACTCAAGCTTAGCTACTAGCGTATATGTTTCTTCATAGTTTATGCCGCACGTTTAAGAAACCCGGGATCTGAATCGATCTTCCATTCGTTGAATTTTCTCGCTTGGTTCTCCTTTATGCCGGACACTTACAGGCGAGCAATTGTCGACCGATCTTGAGGCAATACAACCACCGACAAAGTTTTGTCTGAATCGCACTTCCAATCGTTAAATTTTTTCGCTTGGTTCTCCTTTATGCAGGACACCCACAGTCGAGCAATTGTCGACCGATCTTGAGGCACTACAACCACCGACAAAGTTTTGCTTCTGCACTCTGCAGCGACTTTCAAGTAGCACGTCTTTTTCCATTCGGCGACGTTGCTACATTCCATTACCGACTAATACGTGGTCGATATCATCCCACTGAAGGTACGTCATAAGCCTCTACAAAACACCACGTATAACCGCTGCCATCACTTATCGCGTTTTGCGATCAGACCTGTCGTTTGCATCGTAGAATCAACATCACTGCTTCCTGTGACAGTGACCTGTGATGTCGTTCTTACACAGAGGATCCTTAAAGTCAAAGTCAGATTGATCGCCTTCGTCTAACGATCAGTCTCATTAGACTGTGCCAAGTTTGGTCACTGCGACTTCGTGAGACCACATACGTCGCTATGAGCAATTCCTAGTGTTTGTTTGGGTTTGGTCGAATATAATTTATAAGACTCATCCTAATTATCCAGCACACACTCATTACATACTTCCCACTGAATAATTGACGTCACGGCAATTCCAATGTCATACTTCTTTTTCACGATGGCGCTTAGTCCACCCATGTGACCGAGTCAAGATACGAGAGGTACAAACTGGCATCTTCACAGCACCTACCACATTATCATGGTCAGTGTTTTTTGGCGTAAAAAAGGCATTGGCAGTCCATTGCCTTCACGAGCCTCTCTTACTGGAACTCCCGCGGTATGAGTTTTTCCACAAGGGTGTTGAAGATGTTAATGAGCTCTAGCACATCGTCACCTTCACTAATATTGCCGTCGACGAAGAACGTGACTGCTTGCCAAGATTTTGTTCCAAAGTGCGACTCCAGACAAGACCATGCTTTATTCGCATTGTACCAAAAGAAGCTGCAAATCCTCCATTGCAAGGCAGGTGATCGCCACGGCCAATGCAGTGTCCTCCTGAACATTAAATGGTGTGGTGCGGTGGCAAAGTCGAAGGCGATGCGGTAGATAGTAGAATTCAAAGGCTTTCGCTCGCGAAACTTGTGTTTATCTCTAAGTTGGTTACCCATTATCCTTTTCCTCAGATATATAGTCGGCTAACTTACGGGTATCTGACCGGTATACCAGCACTAGTTTGACAGTCCGGACCCGAATTTTACTCGCTGTTCACTACACATGTCATTTAAACTGATGGAGAGTTGTTACAACATCATGCATATAGAAAAAACTTTGTTTACTATTTCAGGTCCTACACTGTGTTCAAATAAATTTTCAGCATAATGTAATGTTTTATTGTAAGTTTCTACTGTCATTAAGTACTTATAACATGCAAGGAACGAGGTATGTGTGTGCGAAGCAAAGTGAAGACGGAATAGGGCTCGACTGTACGTCTTTGCTCATAATCAAAACACGACGTAGCGAATGACTCATCATATTCACAATAAAAAGTAATTAAATAGTAGACCTGAGCTGAGTCCCCCTGGTGCAGTTGTTGAGCACTGATCCGTTGACCAAGTGGTCACCAGTTCGAAGAATTCCATATAGCCAACGGGATACCGGGTATACAAATGATAAAAAGTAAGTCACTCACTCAAATAATCTCACTTAACTGGAATTCGAGCTGGCGACTCGTAAAAGCAAGAAAAAAAACAGCAATGTAATATCGTATTCAGGGAGGGGTAGGTATAGCCGTGTAATACGATAATACATAGCAATTTTCAACTGAGCTGTCATTTTAATATATTTACTTTTCTAACCGCGATTTGGTGGCCGACACTTTTTCAAGGGAAACTTGTCAAAATTGGTCAGAATTACAATAAGTACTCTTGAAAACGGTAAGAATTACAACTAATACCTTCTACAATTGGCTTAAATTACAAATAATACAATACTTTTGCATTAAAGCGGTATACCGCTAGCCTAATAAGAAGTTATCGGTTCCGATGGAAGTGCTAAAGACAACAGCGATCAGCGAGAAGACGGCAGCCAAGCTAATTAAAAAGTTTGTGAGCGATAAGGAAGAGGAAGAAAGTACCGACTTAATGGTTCGTTTGATAGGATAGTGCACTGAACTTCGCCTGACTGTTCTTGCTTATCTAACTGTACAGATAAACGATGAGGTCAAGTTCCAATTGGGCCAGGTATTGGCCTACTTGGAGGGCAGAAAACCTCAGATACAGAATACCTACTACCAGAATGAGCAATTCTAGTCTTTATCATCTAATATAGAGCACCTTGCATCGCGATCCTCTTTGTTGCGTGGACACGTGGAAAGAGTGCCTACTCATCAGTTCCAGCACGAGAATAAGTTGTCATCGAACAGGTTATCTGAAAAATTTTCCCACATGTATCTAGTGCATATTCACTTGTACTTTCTCGCCTTGATATTTGCAACATCATCCGACGACGCTAGCTACGACACCACAACCAAGCTCGTCATATAACAAAATAAAATCTCAAAACGTTATTGTGAAGTACTTGTCGAAAATGTATGGATTTGGACTCCAGCGGAGCACCATTAGCTACGCTTACTTAACGCCGCACGTTTCTCACAGGTTTACGGACATATTTACGTCTTAAGAGTACGGGTGATAAGCATTCAATGACTTTGCAAAGTTAACGACAATGACAGGGTTGCAGAGCTTGATCCCTTTGCTGAGCTAGCAATATCGTATAAGCTACTAATTGGAGTACTACTTGCTGCCATTGCTGATTCGTGGTCTCACTTCCGAAGAAGTTTTATGTCGTTGCAGCAGAAATCAGTAACCGTGGCAGTAGAAATACAACTGCTCAGCCGACTATGCTCTAAATCACGAATACTCTATCTGATATGTTTGGATGCAAAGTCAGAATAGATACATATCGCATCATGTATTGAAAACATGGGGGAGGGAGGATCACCTTTTCAGGTATTTGTGCTCTAAAGACTATGTCTTACTTAGCCAATTCATCTGAAAAGATTATCCCACGGTGTGGATTTAAATTTTCACCATGAGCTCTGGCATAGCAAATCAATAAATTCACTCTCCCCCTAGTTCGACAGCCTTGACTAATATTGCTGCGCCACAAATACATTCCTTGATCGTAAACGGATATCGTGAGACCAGCGTTGTAATATATTATCGTACATGCAACGACCAACATATGATGGTAATCAGCTTGCAGTCATGGCTTTTGAAAAAAGTAGACCGAAGCTTTACAATTTTAACATTTTTTGATGCGTAGGGCAGGTGCTGGACTTCCAAAAAAGAGGAGAGGGGTTGAAAATTTTGGATTAGCGGCTGGCTAACGAGATTCTGACCATATGATTCACCTGTGATATCCCTTGATCCGTGGCACTATACCGCCTTTGGTGCAAGCACGTAAACGACGTAAACAAAAACTTACAAATCGATGCTTTGTAACTTGTTGTACTTTACTGCTAGAATCGACAATATATAAGTGAAATGATTCTAACTTATCTGCTATGCCTTGATCTGAATGTTCGTTTGTCGACATCTCGTTTTGCCGCTTACAGCTCCTTGCTGAAGCCTGTATCTTGCAAACATTATTGGGTGCTTGTTGGCTTTTATACCACAAAGTTGGTTGAGGATGCATGTGATGTTTGTAATGACGAACCATCCACTGAAAATTGGACAATGCTCATCTAACGATGGATCACTGCGATAGTCATCAGGTTGACCAGGTGCTTTTAATTACTAAGAACGTCTTATCATGAAGTGATTCTTGAAGTACGCAGAAGTGGTTGTAAAGTTTTTCTCTTCACTGACTAGTACAGAAGAGGGCTTGATTCTTACAGAACATCGTGGTAAGATCACATGCGAATTGCTAGTCTTGTAATTGTGCCATTTCTAATGTTGTTAGCTAACAGACTGTTGTTGTATTCTGCTCCTTTTTCTAGTGCTTGTAGCGAGCGCACACTTTACTTGGATTTACAATCTTAACGCTTCACCTTACAAGATAATTCAAAGAAAATAGCTCAAGACGATACATAATTACTGAAATAATATGCAGTTCACCAGGCTTATGGTATTACTCGACCACTTCAAGGTTTACCAAAACGTTTTTATTCGTCCTATATACCTCATAACCTTAAAATACATGAACGATACAATCTAGCGCTTGGAATATTCTCTGCAATCTAAAGCAGCATCTCGTACTGTCGGTCACACCTCTACTATGCATGAACCAGTACATCATCGCAGAAAAAGGCAGCTATTACAGCTGCAACAAGCACATGACAACTGATGGCACCCACTGGTCGATTTGCTCCGACACTTGTGCTGTGTTAAAGGCATTAGTCTATTCCGTGCATACTTCAAAGTCCCGGACGCATCGAAAATGCTGGAATCTCGCAGTAGCTGTAACGAGCTGGACCTTGCGTACATGCCGTACCATGAAGGTCTGGTGAATAACAACGCGCCACCTGCGCGTAGCAATCTTTCGATCCACAAGCCAACGCAGCAGTATTCCCAACAGTCTCCGTATTACGAGGATAGTGACGACGACGTATCGGACGATCCGGTTTGGATGATGGCTCCAAGTGACAGTCTGCAGCCAGCGTTTCCATCCAGTCTTATGAAGAAGTCCTCGACCATTTCGGTTACAGACACGCAGGTGTCTAGTCCAGTGTCCCCGGAATCCGTCAGCAGTCACAAAGAAGACAATCAGGAGAAGCACTGCGTGAATGATAGAGATGATGAGGAGGCTGATGATGACCACTATTCTTCTGAAATATTAACGAGGCAAACATTGACAATCAAGCATCTATCTTCGGAGAGAACGAATTTGGCTCTAGCTACAGACTCTCGTAAAGACATTAGTAGTAACGACAACGGCTATCGTGACAGCATGATGCGCTACCGACCTAGTGACGTCAAGCTTCATGAGATGAATATGATGATGTCACGTGACAGCTTGGCCCCGGAAAATTTTCAAAGCAGCTACAACAACATGAAGCACGAGGGCACTAGCACGGATGATCAGCTCGGACACCACCGGAGCAGTAATATGTTTGACAGCAGTCGCGGCATTTCGAAGACCAGCAGTTCGGATCTATTAAGTGGCTCTGTCATGCACTTCGGTCTGCGTGTGGCGGACGAGGGATTATCTGACTTTCTGCGGGCTGCAAAAACGGGCAACCTCGAAGTGCTTCGAAATCATCTAGAAGACCAAACAACAAGTTTCATAGAACGCGACCCCGTCCATGGTCAGACAGCTTTGCATATTGCCGTGCGATTTGGCCAATTTCTCGCGGTCAAGTTACTGTGCGCTAAGCGAACTCGTGGACTGCTAATTGATGCCGTAGACAACCGGAGGAACACACCACTACACCTAGCGGCAGCCAAGTCGCGCCGGATCACCAAATTTCTTCTAGAAAGTGGCGCCAGCACCTCGTGCGTGAATAATCGTAACCAAACGCCACTGGCCGTGCATCTGCTCACAACCAAGCGTGACGACCCGTTGATTGCAGAGATGCTACTGCAGCACAATACGGATCCAAACAGCCCGCTTGGAAACGGTACACTGCTGCACAAGGCATTGGAGCTTCAATGTTTTGAAATTGGCTATCGACTCGTACGATATGGTGCTCGTCTGGATGCAAAAGATGCAGACGGTTGCATGGTGTTTGATAAGGTGGATTGCAAAGTATTGCGTCAGCTTCTTGGCAAAATTGCGTTTCCACCCGTGTGGGTTCCAGATTCAGAACGCAAGAACTGTATGATCTGTTTGCGCGACTTCAATCGTCTTGGTGTTGGTGTACGTCGTCACCACTGTCGCCACTGTGGACGTCTCATCTGTGGTCGCTGCTCCCATGTATCGGTTGAGAGCGAGGCGTTTCCATCGACATTTGTTGGTCACATCGATCGCAATCCATCGGATGAACGGTCGAACTTAAAACGCGTGTGCAAAACTTGTAGCAACGTGTTTGATGAGCGGGCAAAGCTGGCGAAGCAGAGCTCGTCGGACCGTACTGGACTATGGTCGTCTGCGTTTATGGGTCGAGTTGTCGGCTGCTCTTGGGACGAAGCTGAGGGCAAGAGAACCAGCTGCATTGTTGGACGCAGTTCTTTTGTTCCATAGAGAAAAATGTCGGAAGATACGACGTTGCTCTTTAGTGATCGTCGTCCACGAATGTGCGATGCCGTTAACAATACATTTTCATTTTCGAACTGTCGTATATTCTTCATTAATTCTTCACCTCGAAATTCTGAATACTCTGATTGAACAGCAAAATTGTATTCAAAATACAAATATAAGAAAATTTGATTGTTTGGTCATTAATTCAAGCTGCAAAAATGCGCTGCTGTCAGATGGTCATGGGCCCTGCAGGCACGGGCAAGGTGCTGCAATGAAGCCATTCTAAATAATTTAAAACCCAGTCAGATTGACAAATGAATGTGTCTATTACTACTATTTAATTGACTTGGTAGTCGACGTACTGCAATAATATGCACGAGTTCTGCGCTGCATCTGGTCGCATGACTTACGTGGTAAATTTGGACCCAGCCGCTGACCATTTCGAATACCCTGTGGCTTTTGGTACGCCCAGCTAATTGAGCCCAAAAAGAAAACAAAAGAAAACTTTATGATTGTATTCAGACATTCGGGATCTGATTAGCGTGGAAGACGTAATGGAGGAACTCGGCTATGGACCAAATGGTGGACTTCTCTATTGCATGGAGTACGTAGTTGACTGCCGTCACCTGTAATATTTGATTAATGCTGATAATAGGCTGGTATCATCCAGATATCTTGTTCAAAACCTAGACTGGCTGCAGGATCTGCTAGGGGAGTATAGCGACGAAGACTACTTTATTTTCGATTGTCCAGGTTTGTATTGTCTCTCAGATACATAAGGATCATCTTAGTGCTGAGATGTTGGAATTCGATGTAAAGGTCAGATCGAACTATACTCACACCTTCCAGTAATGAAGCAACTCTGCGATACATTAAAGGATTGGGGGTTTAATATTTGCTGCGTTTACTTGGTACGCTTACTTCTACTGACGATTGAGATATGTACTTGCTTATCACTCTGTCCTGATGTCTAGATTGATTCATTATTTATTGCCGACCCAACCAAGTTCATTTCGGGTGTTCTCTGCTCTCTGTCGGCTATGGTACAATTAGAGCTGCCTCACATCAATGTGATTTCGAAGTGCGATTTAGTGGACGAGAAGGAAATGTCAAAGTACGTTGACTATTGTTTGTTCACACAAGCGGTGGTTTCTGAAGATTGTATACTCGATAGATATCTGGATCCATCAGGGAGTTACCTTCTTGAAAACCTTGCAAACGCAACTGATCCAAAGTGGCGTCCTCTAAGCGCGGCGATCTGCAATGTGGTACGGCGATTAGAAGTACTTTGTCAGTTGGTGTGTTAAATAGGGCCGCTGACACAGATGCAATGATCAAACCATGCGGAGACAGATTGATGACTTTAGTATGGTTGCTTTCGTCCCGATGAATATTAATCGCGAGGAGAGTATTGAAACGGTACTTATGCACGTAGATCATGCGATCAATTACGGGGAAGACCTGGAGCCGCAGGTATAGCAATTTTAAGTTGCTGTGTAGTTGCCGGGCTAATTGACTTTTTTTGTAGGAGCCGAAGAATCGAGATCCCGACGAATAGATGCCCTTTTCATGACCCGCTAATTTTGATTAATATCTAGTTCACAGACAATTTTTTGGTGTGCGATCATGACGACACTCTTCTATACACATCAAAAAAAGCAACGCAAAGATTTGAAGTGAAGAGCTCACTGAACATTGTGTAAGCTGGTCGGTGGATAAGCCAGCTACAATGAATAGGAACAATGATGAGGGTGCTAACATGAAACTCCGCAGTGTTTTGATCATCTTAAAATATGTTTGCTAGTGTGTCCCTTGAAGATTTAGAAGTGAATTTGTAATTCACCTTTTCCGTCCATCACGCGAGGACACCACGGACCACTTGCGTGATGGACCGGAAGTAGTTGCTTTCTGTGACTATGACTGTCTCTGACATAGGCGTCTGACATCAACACAGCAGGTACACCGTTCAAAGAAAATTCAAAATGGTGTGATCGTAGAAATGCTGGTGGCTTTTCTAGAGCAAAATTTTCGAATGGATATTCCTACCTCGCAGACTTCTCATACAGGCTTAAATTTCTTTTACAGACTGTTGCTCGAAGATGGAGCATCTACTTTTTTTGTGTACCATCGTTCTTTCCATCGCTATTGTGACGACTCGGCGTGCTTCAAAGCATTTACTGACTTAAATACCATCGTCAAGAGTACCAACGACACAAGAAGGTATTTGAGACCAACTATCATATCATATGTTGAATGTTGTTGACGAAGAGCGCACAACTCGTGGACTTTGAAAGCTCTGCATAAACTGCAAACTTCAACAGGTTGCTCGACAGATATAACGTGGCATGAATTTGTTACACAAGGTCACGAGCTAAAGCAACAAGTCACTTAAATCCTGGACTAGCGGAAAACACTGTAGCGGGTCAAGTGACGGTGAGCGAAGTCATTTCGTCGTGGATAAAATCCAGTGCACACAGATCCAAAATTTTGAGTTCCAAATACAAATGTTTGGCTGCGGATATGCCTCCATTACTAGCAGCACGGGCGCAAACCTTTGCGTTAAGTAGTAGTGAAGCCTGTGGATAAAGTTCAGGCTCAAATCAAAGTCAAAGCGAATAGATGTACATCAGAGCTCAAGTTGAACGTCCATTAGAAGTTATTTTAGCAACAAGTAAACCGTTCTTTGCAATAATGTCAGAGCTTTTTGCAAAACTTGTCCGGTCTAGCAAAATGAGCATGCTCGTCGATAAGCTCGCCTAAACGTTTCAAGGTGGCGTTTTGAAACTAAAATTGAGGGTGAGACCTTACGATACGTATCATACAGCCACATTCGTACGTACCTCCACGAACTCGACAGAGTGAACATCATTGTCTAGAAGCTTGCCAAAGTGAAGTTCCATCTCACGATCCACACTCTCACCATATTTCTTGTAACTGCGATAGCAGATAGTAGTAGCTAATGAAATATACAAACATCATCAAGTATAAAAGCCTAACACTCACAGAATTCCCATTGCATCGTCCAAGGCAATCTATGGCACAATGAAACATGAGCACAGCTCTCGGATCGCTAGTTTTAGGAAAACATACTCTGCCGCAACACTTTTTGTCAATCATGAGAAATGATGTAAGGAAGAACAGCTCGGATGGCTCAAGACCTGAACGATCGTTTCGCGACCTCACGTAGCTATTGACAAATTCGTCGAAACAAATAGCACCATCTAGTTTGTCATTCACCTGCCAAATCATTTCTACCAAATGACTCTGTTCCTGCCCAGAAAGCGGATAGCCGAGTTGCTTATAGATAGTCGTCAGAGCCTTCAAGTCGATTCGATACTTCGAGCTGACAAGTTCCCTGCCAAGATTCTCTTCGTCTTGCAGCGTGGCAAGATACTTAAGCTTCTCCTTCTCGTACCGATCTCGCTTTGCATTGTTGTCCAACGGTTTACATCGTTTTCCAATAGCTTGTGGCTGCAACATATGGCGTCGTGAGCTTAGTGTTACAGCTTTCTAGAACGATGGCATGTACCTTTTCCGGCAATTTCTGCAAGGATTAAAATATGGTTAGATTTTGATATGCGCTACATTTCATGCAACCCCCCACCTCGAGCTTGTGCTCTAGTCGTCGCAAAGGCGTATCAAATGCTAGCAATCGAAAAATTCGCCGCAACTGGATTTGCTCTTCTATGCTAAGGCCAGTCCCGCTTTTCGGGGCATCCATCACAAGTTTTCGTTAGGAAGCGGATTGACTAAATGACGTACAATGTATAAATATTCACTGAGCTAATGTAACGTATAGAATTTTTTGTCAGCGAATATCTACGTCCAACACTGTCAATTGTGCTGAACGTGCACACGGCAATGTACAAGAAGCAAAAGTATGTACACACGTGCGCTCTTGAGCGTTCGGAAGTACTCTTAGTGCTGTCTTATGCGCTGATTGAGCGGACGATAGATCAAAGCAGAAGAAGATAAGATCAAGAAGATCGAGATAGGCATTCAAAGTCGTAAGATAGAGTTGCAAGCTTATTGTACTTGCTAAAGTGAATGAAATAACACACCTTGCCCACACTTTCTTCCTGTTCGCTGACCAGTCGTTGATTAAATTGAGTAAAAATCAGCGAAGTTCTTGAAAAAGAAGTTGACCTGATTAAAGGAGACCTCTTTGCTCAGATTGCTATCACAACAGTTTGACGCGCAATTGACGCAAAAGGAAAAATGCACATCAAGACAGAAGAGAAGGATGTCACAGTTGAGTTTTCACTATGACGATTATCAAGATATCTTAACATGCACGAGTGCAACCGCTTAGGCTATCGGTCAAGCGTCATGTCCTCTGAATGCAATGACGGCGCCAGTAAGGTCATCATTTACAACATAATCTTTTGTCAACCTCTCCTAGGTCAAAAATAAAAAACACCAAATTTGATAACCATGAGCATATGGTTTATATGTATATATCGCCTCATCTATTTCCAGTATGGGTAATTTGTGTAGCGACTCTTTACTCCGCCAAATCAGAGTTCCGCTGCGCAATCAAAGCTTCATCTACCTGCTCAAGAACGGACGAGATTAGATACTTTGTTCAAAAATTAAATGCCCTACTTATTAGGGCGAGTTGTGCATGCTTGTAGTGCAACCACCATTATGGCGCAAATGCCGAATCTTTTATAGGGATGACCGAAAGTTGGCTGGTCTCGACCTAGATGCACCAGCGACGCTCATTCGAGCGGTTTGAATTGCATCAGGCACAAACTTCCCTTGATGATACAGTAGCTCGTAGACGTACAGAGTAGCTGTTGGTGTCATAAGCTAAAATATTCTTGTCTACTGTCTTGGTCTGGTGATGCGGTCTTGCCCACGGATATCCAATCGAAAGAAATTACAGTCTATGAGAAAGACTGAAGCGTCACAGATGACAAGAAGTAGCTACTCCAGTGTGGGAAGAGTCAGAGTGGAGAGAAGCATGGCGCTTTCTTTCACGGCCTCGAAGACCACCTCGTTTGCAGCACTCCCCGTTCAATATCGTTTCTTGAGGAAATCGGTATGGGATTCAGACATGTGAGCATAAATCTCATCAAGCCTGAAACACGCTGGCCGGACTAATTCCCTTCTTATTTTGTTGAGAGATTGGCGCTGATAATCATAATGGTTCTGCTCCCCGCAAGCTCTAATTTGTCTCGATGTAAAATCATGATCGTGTCAAGGCAAGGATCACCTAACTCTCGTCATTCGTGATCTAGATCTATCATGCGTCGTTGCGCATTGCAATATAGTCACATCATCTCTCATCGAGAATTGCAGGATTGTTATACCTTTTGGTCGAGCAGAGCTTCAAAGTGCGTTATAAGCGGATCGCCATAAGGCTATTGGTTCCATGTTTCCACCACTTACTCTAGCATCAAGGCTTGCAGTATTCCACTTTCACTGCGTCAACACCCGTGGGCCAGCGGGTTAACTAGATATGTATCCAGAACTTGTGAGATAATCGTGATATCTTCTCTCCGAGAATTCATGGGAGGTTGACGCTCAATTTGTATGAAGGCCGTTACGGCTAAGGTATTTTCAACGTTCTCATTTCTATAGGAGAACATATAATATTTGAAGTGCAACGCCTCACCCTCTATCCAGTGAGGCTCGGTTTTATTCCAAATTGACACATGACTGGTAGTGATACCAGATGAGCAGAACTCTTTACAGCATTAACATAAGGTAATGGGCGTTCATTTTGTGTTTCGCATTTTTAAACATTAACCATTGTCCTTGGCTGACGTATGCTTTACTGATTCGAAGCTGTCAGACAAGTGACGCGACGTGTCCCTCACTCAGCGCACGAACCGAGTGCACTTCCGCCAGCATTTAATACCTAAAGTAAGGGTTCAGAGAGGTAGGGATTTTTTTACCACTGCTACTCTAATCTTAAGCGGTATTTTTAAGAATTGTTTATCTGTGAACTTAAATAAGCCCCCAGGCGCTGTACAGCGGGGCTACCGGAGCTCTTTGCTTAGAGACAGCTAAGCTAAGGTCACCGACCTTACGTTCGTTCCTTGGGCCACAATTGGCTGCCTTTGGTACTAAACACCTTAATCAAGGCAAACGAACACTTCTGTTCAGGATTAAACTGTATTTAACTGTATTATTCGTGGCAGAGCAGCCAATATCTAAAACCCTAAGTTTATCTAATTACTATAGTGAAACATGATTAATATAGCAAAACCTAATTGATATAGTGATATGCATTACACTGGCAATTTTGCCACGTGGTGGCTACTTGCTACGGTGTAATCACACCGCTGTGTGATTACACTAACTTGTCAATACACATCCATGTACTGTCGCACAATCTTGTGCGACCCGCCCTTCCTTACAGGGGTACGTGTAACCCCGTTGCACGCTGCTTTCGAGCACTTGATTTGGTATCGGCATCATGGAAGGCCCACACGCACACGCTTGCAAAGGATTCGTCACGGTGTTGCTCCAAACGTATGATTAATCGCTGCCCGTTTATGTCTGCAACCGTTTGTGACGAGCGGGACGTCAGGTTGAGTTCTGCGACACTCTCTACCCTCGTAACGTACATGGAGCCCGCAGGCCTAACAGAGGATTGGCTGATGGTGGGCAACGCCTCACTTTCCAAAAACGACTTTGCGGTATGTTTCTTGAGCAAAATTTGTGCCGGATTAGGACTCAGACAGTCACTATCGCCAGCTTTATCGGGGAGCGTCTCCGCTGCCTTACCGAGTATATATCGCAGTGATAAGGGCCGCTGAGACATTCGCGGCCCATCACGCAACAAGGAAGCTTAAGCAAAAGGACTCTGAATGCAGAGTTCAGAATGGGTAGAGGAACTTTTTGACAAGCCGGGTGTCTGTTTAGTGTTCATTATTGGGCAACGAGTAATAAAGACAAATCGAAAGCGTGGTATGCTTTAAAAATGAAGGCTGTCGTGAAGTTTTTTCTGATATTATGTTGTATGTATACACTGTTATTTCACTATTTTCATTACCGTCCGCCGGCATTTTGAGCTAAGCTCAAAGTTACCAGAGTTAAAAGGCAGAGACACGTCAGTTTTGACGCCAGTACGAATCTTCGAGTAGCATTCTGGATCACACAGAATGTTTGTGATTTCGTATAAGAACTCAAATCTGCATGAGAGGGCCCTTAAACAGTAATCATATTTGTTATTAATTCCTGCAATGCATCCAGAAGGTACATATAAATGTACCTTTATGGGATGGCTAAGTGTAGCCAAATGCATCATCCCATTCTCAAAGACAGAAATACTTTGGTACTTGTTGACACCTTTACAGATAATTACTTCTTGGTCAACAATGAAGCGATCCTGTAAACAAGCTAACTTTATATACTTCGTCGCCTAAACGGCAAAATCCAGTTTCAGAACCCTTTGAAATTACCATTATTCTAGACCGAGATGGCAACAAAAGGATCTACTGGAAATATTTTTATCGAAGGCGTCGATTCAGCCATCGAGATAGTTCGACCCAGGGCTTTCGTAGCTAAGCTAAACGTTCGTTTGTCCTGAGGATGAGAACGAGATGAATTGTCTACTTCGCTAGGTTGGCGCTGGCAGGACTTCAAATCGCAACCGAACATAACCCGGTCCTGATCGACGTAGTATTTCCCAATCAACACTGAAAGAGGTTCTCGCACCTGTGGATAATGTCGAAGACATCACCTTCGAGCGTTGGAATCAGTAAACCAGCAATCCTTCGACGTTTGTACGCCGAGAAGAATCTTTGATGTGAAGTGTTGATTACTGTTCGGGGCCAGGATGAGAAACTCCATTATCAGATCGATCATCTATTAGTGAACATAGAATGTGATCGACCGATCCACTCAAAAGATGCGACTTCTAGCCCACCCTCACAAAATGTAAGATGTAGGCGCATGCGTGTAAAAATGGCTCGGATTTAAGCATCACCATTGCAATTCAATACCATGAACAGCATAATGAATCTTTGCAAAAGCTATTGCTACCCAAGTTGGACACTGAATGTCCAGGTAATTTTGTCATGCCAAGTAGTTCAAGATCATTGATCTTACACACTAACTTAATCTTCCTATCGCTCTGATCTGCTTGTTTTTTAAAATCCTGGGCTTTGGCAATGGTGTCTGCAAGAAACCTGCAGCGAGGCTGCCGAGGCTTTGCGCTTTGAGGAAGCGTAAGTTAGGTCACCGACCTCTCGTTTTATACTCAGAACAAGTACGACTTTAGCGGATCGCAATCCGCTTACTCAAGATTAATTATAGCTTTAGCCCAAGGCTAGTTAAGTCTTCGGTTTAAATTCAAAACTGACTATATTTATTTTTATCTGTGGCAAAGCCGCCTAAATGCATAGACCTTCCTAAATATGTATGGTAAAGTCTGAATACATGTACAACTACAGGCTATCCAGCCCCGAACCATATTCTTGTATGGGTGTGGTCACACCATGCCCATCTGGTCAACCCCCCCTGTTACCAGGTTATGCGTAATTTCGTTCCACTCTCCCCCATTAAGATTACGAACATTTCCAGTTCCAATCGAATATTGTCTCAACGAGGCTTGCGTGTCCGTTAGACACTGCGTTGGAACGAAACGACTTCCGTGCTCAATGAGCCCTGTGTCAATAAATACGAAGTCTCCAAGTCTCGCTGGTCCGACAGCGGAGCTTAACCTCATCTTCCGCACACGGTGCCATGTCGGACCGTGTCTCCGCGGCATCGAGCGATGTAAATTCTAGGCTCGATGAGCCCTAGCGTCGATTTCCGCGCACGCTAACTGTGACGAGTGATCGTATA